GGATAGAGTCATGACAGTTATAGTGGTCTCAAACTGCTTCAATTTTGCACTGTGGATACACCATTGGGTCTAATCTGCCCTGCAGAAATAATGCAATTTGACACTGCTTTAACTGCCATGGCTCCATTTTACAGAATCCTGGGATTTGTAGTTTGGTGAATCATCAGAGCTCTCTAACAGAGAAGGCTAAATAGCTCACAAAACTACAAATCCTAGAATTCCATAGCATGGAACCATGGCAGTTAAAACGGTATCAAACTGCAATCTGCACTGCAGAAATATGTGGCTTGACACTGTTTTAACTACAATGACTCAATGCTATGGAATCCTGGGATTTTTAGTTTGTTGTGGCACCAGAGTGCTCTGACAGAAATGGCTAAATCTCAGAATCCCCAAAACTACAAATTGGTATCAAACCACATTATTTCTGCAGTGTAGATTAGACTCTAGTTGCAAAGAGTCAGCATTTCTCCCTACCTCCCCCACACCCCAAAATGTGTGGTTTGGTATGGGGCGATGAGCCCTACAACTCTCATTTCTAATACCAAAGATTAACACAAGGAGGAGAAAAAATACTGCGTCAATTGTTAAATATTTATTTTATTCTTACAAAAATCTTTCTAACTTGTACTCTAGGAGCAGATCTCAGTAGAGGGTTTACAATCAATAGACCAATTCTGCATAAAAATCATTAAGAAACCCCGCAACTATCCATATCCTGCTACAGTTAATCTTCAACATAAAGCCAGTATTGGTGCCTACAGAAAAAAAAAATGGAACTACAGTCGGGAGACCCCAAAGCTTGGATAATTGGCCACAATTCTTTACTTGACAAAACTACAAATCCCAGGACCTGTGGCAGTTATAATGGTCTTAGTGCTATAACTGTGTACTGTGAAAGGGTTCCAGGTAGGAAAATGAGAACAGTATTGAGAGAAGGCTCTGTCTTGCATCTCTACATGATGTATAGCTTCCAACTGTGTTTTAAACAGGGTAACAGTTTTAGGACTATCAAGCAAGGCTTCAAAAGCAAAACTAGAGCAGGGTAGTAGCATCTGTGGCTGTACCTTATCATACGATGCGGTGTCTGTCCTGTAGCTGCTTTGTCTTCCATCCATTCCTGGAGCATTCCTTCTCATTGACAGGCAGAATTCATCAATGTATCCCAATAGCACTGCTTTTCCACTATTGATTCATGTGCGATAAGTCCCTCCTGCTGCAGTTCTGATATTTAGGTAGTCAAGTGTTCTAAATGGCTGTGATTACACTCTTTTCCCCCTTGCTATTCCCAAGCAGGCTATTTTTCTCTCCCCCCCCCCCAATTTCTTTTCTTTTCTTTTCTACTTTCTTTTGATTATTATTATTATATTTGTTTATATCCTGTCCTTCCCCCTAAAATAGGACACAAAGTGGCTTACAAATAAAAAACACCGTGCAACTAAAAACATACAAAAGTGACCGTGCAATTGAAAATTTTTTAAAAATGCAGACCAAAAGACATGCTGGGAAGGGCATAGGGCAGGAAGACATGGTTATGAAGGCAGGTGTGCAGAAGACAAGAGCCTTGACCAAAGTCAACCATGATAACCGCAGAGGACCCCCTTTCAAAGTACAATATGGACATAACACATAGGAGTATCATAGAAGGAAGTGCATAAACGTTTTACTCTTGGGTGCTTTGGGTTTACTCTTGGGCCGCTTTGTGATCTAAGCAAAGTATGACCTGTTTTTGGGAGGCCATATGTTGCAACAGGAACGGCTGCAGCAGTAAACAGAACTCGATGTCCAACTCACAGGGTCACTTTGGTTTGGACAGCGTGGGGCACACCTCTTAGTGAT